TGATATAGTGATGATGGCAAAGAGTGAAAGTGGAATGAAAACGATGCTGAAAAAATTATAAAGATACCTGGAAGAAACGGAATTAGAGCTAAATGTAGGAAAATCAAAGATGATGAAATGTAGGAGAGGAGGAGGAAGGGGGAAGGAAGAAGAATTCGAACGGGAAGATGAGAAGATAGAGATGGTTAAAGAGTACAACTACTTGGGATATGTGATAAGCAGAAATAACGGAAATAAAAAGCAGATAAAGGTAGAAGCGAAAATAAATATGGGACTCGGAAGACTATGGGGGCTAGGAGAAAAGCTATTTAAAGAAAATTGGGAGTTAAGGATGAACTTGTTCGACGTACTGGTGAAAAGCGTGATTATGTATGGAGCAGAAATCTGGGGATGGAAGAGATATGAAGAAATAGAGAGATTACAACTAAAATACATAAAGTGGGTATTAGGATTAGATAGAAACACGCCAAGCTACTTAATACGATGGGAAATAGGAAGACAAGAAATGAAAGAAACAGCATTAGAAAGAGCAATAAGGTATGAAAACAAAATAAGAGAAGAATGAGATGGCTCAATAATAAAAGAAGCACGCAGAGAACTAATGAAAAGGGAAAGAAATGAAAAACATAAAAAGGGTAAGAAGGAGGAGAGAGAGGAAAGGCTAGAAAAAAGTAAAATATACAGAGAGAGGGAAGAGGGAGACAATATGAGAGAAGAGTTTTGGGAAAAAATAAGAGAATAGCTAAAGAAAAAAGAAAAAAAAGAACTAGAAGAAAAGCTAGAAAAGTCAAGCTACATAAACGAGTGGAAAGAACTGAAAGAAGAAATGAAAAAGTATAGATTAAAGGAAATTCAAGGAGAGGGAATAATAAAAGGCTTACAAATAAGGGAAAGATTCAGGTTAGGTAGCGAAACGAGAGGAAGCAGGTATTGGGAAAAAGAAGAACATAAGGGATGCAGAATGTGTATGAAAGAGGAAGAAAATTTGAAGCACATAGTAGAAAAATGTGAAAAAAGCAAAAAGGAAGGGGAAGAATGAGAAAAAATAATAATAGGAAGCAAAGAAAAGATAGCGTGGATGATGGAGCTAAAATTGAAAAGAAGAAGAAATGAAGAAGAGAAAGAAAAAGAAAAACAAGAAGACGAAATTACAAGACCATAAGGACAGACGGAAACAGAAGGTAGAGACACAAGACTCGCCAACACATCTACATACGCACACATACACACAAAACACGCACACACACGCAAACATACACATACACACACAAAACACAAGTAATAGCAACTACACAAGCGAGAGGAAGCAGGTATTCGACGACGGAGCAAAAATGGAAAAGAAGAAGAAACGAAGAAGAGAAGGAAAAAGGAAAACAAGAAGATAAAATTATATGACACTAAGGAAAATAAGCGAGGTTGAGAAAATGAAAGGCAGAGGGAGCAATAGGAAATGAGAAAAAGGTGTCAAAGCCCTAATAAAGAGAAAGACAAGAGAAATGATTAGCAATAAGGAGAGCTAAAGCAAAAGAAAGGCAAAGGTAAAAAGGCAAAAGAAAGTAGCAAAGGAAGAAGTCGAAAAAAGAAAATAAGTAAGAAAGAGAAAAACAGAAGAGCGGAAAAGGCAGATCTCGGAGAGAGAGAGAGGAAGAGAAGATAAAGCAACAGAAAAATAAGAAGAAAAGCTGAACAAACAGGAGCAGAAGACATACTCAAGAGTTGCAGACACACCTACATACGTACACATATACACAAAACACACACATACGCACATACACACACAAAACACATACATTAACAACTACACAAACTAGACACGAGATACAAATAGTAAAGAAGAATTGTAAACCAAATTTAACATAAGTTGTAAATAAATATATGTATATACATAAACAAAAATGTATTTCTTATAAAACTGTTATTCTAATAGTCGCCACAACATTTTTCCAATAGACAAAACAAACATTATTTTTCTTAATAAATTATTTTTCAATAAAAATCATAAATTTACATGCGAATATTTATCAATTGTATAAATTGAGAGAGAGAGAGAGAGAGAGAGAGAGAGAGAGAGAACCTTTGACTTCTTTAATGGGGCGTACACTCGGCGATCCTAAGGGGATGTGTAGTCGCTCTTAGCGATGGATCGGGCGAAATAATGCCGTCATTGATGTTGGACCCAGCAAAACAACGATACCCTGTTGCTGATGGTACTGAACCTGGCGGTGCACTGTTTTTGGCGACGCTGGATTCAATGTTGCCTTGCCGCCGATGGTGTCGGACCTGGTAATGTGTCAGCCCTTACTCTGACGCCTTCTCTGCTTTCTTGCGTCTATCAACCCTCGCTGTAGATATTTTCCTTTGTCCCCTTGTCTCTTGCCTATTATTGGCTACTTCTTTCGGCTGACTAATTCTTACTGCTCTCTCTCGACTAGCCAGCGTACTTTTTTTCACGCTCCTTCTTGCGGCCGCCCGCTCGCGCTCGCTCTCATCTCCTTTTGATCTACTTATTAGGCGGCGTGCGACAAAACGCTAATTGGTCGCACGTCGCCCGCTTGCCTATATGTACCTGCATAGTGCGTGCCTACGAGCGCGCTCTCTCTCTCTCTCTCTCTTTCTTTTCAACTCCTCTCTCTCTGTTCCTCAATCTCAAGCGTGTTCGGCTCCGCTCATCCGTTCGTGGCGCTGAAACAAAAGGTCAAGAGTTAGGCGCATTCTTAAATATGCCAAACGCCGGCTATCGTGCCTCGCTAAAAAAAATGGGGGAAGAGGGAGAGACACATACGAAGAGCAAGCGTACTCCTTGCCCTCCGTCACAATATTATATTCCATAGGCATACTGTTTGTAATGTAGAGTATATCTTCCGGAAAGCACGACTGAACTCTTCCTATAACATTTCAATGAGATTTAAATCAGAGATTGAGAAGGCCAGACCATCATTTCAATTTCTTTTTTTAAGGACGTTCAAATAATTCTTATAAAAGTTAAAAGTGTCTTTTAGCTCATTATCTTATTGTAATATTTACCAATTATTCTACTTCCTGATAGAACTTCATGCTTTAAAATGATGTTATGATAACCTTTCTTTTTCAAAATTCTATCTTCTTTTACAAAATCACCAACATGAGAAACCACAAAACGTCCGCACATTATTATTATCTATCCACCACCATATTTAACTGATGGCACAATAGAATTTTCTGAAAATATTTCATCAACTCTTGGATGTACATAAATTTTCCTTTTGCTCCTAAAAATTTCAAATTTTGATTCATCACCTTATAGAACTTTTTCTTAATCAGTTGTCGTCTTATTTTTTTTCTGTCTAGGCCAATGCAAACGTTTTTTTTCTTTTTCTCTTCACTTCTTTGAGTAAAGGTATCTTTATTGCTACTCGACCAAAAAGACCTTGTTTTCGAAATCTTCTTCTGATAGTTGCTTCACTTATCAACTTTTTAAAATTTATTTAAACGTTAGACTTGGTTTCGGCAGCAGTTAATTGCCTATTACGTAAACTGATTAATGCTATATATTTTTCATTTTGTTTAGTTCTCACTTTTGGTTTATCTCCTGCATATTTATTATCTGTAGTGCTATGCTTAAGAAATTTATTAACATTGTAATTCACAGTACGATTGGAATTTTTCAGGTTATCTGCAATTTGGCGATTGTTTTTCCCAAATCTATGAAGGTCCATAGTCATCTCACGTTTGTTAATACATAAATTATTCGTCTTTGCTATAGTTAAAACAAAAATATCTGAAAATTATAATTTCATTTTAATGCTAAGATAAATGACTACCAAAATTTTGATAAATAACAATTTTATAGACATAATAATGATACTTACGATAATATAAGGCTAATTGTAAATAAATAAACAAATTATAATATCATAATATCTAGTCATCATAAAAATTATAGTGAGTATATGTATTGTAACGGGGTGTGAATTCCGTTTTAATTTCTTTGTCTCGCCCGTTGCGTAGTCGTACCGGAATGCGCGCGGCGAGAACGAAATAATCAATCTTGTCAACTAACCGGAGAGCAGGAGAAGACAGGTGTTAGTCAACCAACTTACTAATAGCAAAGACAACAATATATTAATGTTTCAATCATTAGACTAGTTTATTTATCGTGTAATCTACAACGCACTTGGCCCGCGCATTTACGCTAACACGATGTACGCGACAATCTTACATATCGTCAATTCATTTACAATCAGTCGATCGAGTTATTCGCTTGCATGCTCACTCGCTAACGATTTTGTGTATTCGCAGGTGTGAGGGGAGAGCTAAAATGTTACGCGCGGTCGCTTATCGAAAACAATAACGCGAAGCTAGCCAGATTACCTTATATTTGCCGAAATATTTTCAATTCACAAAAATGGTTATTTTTTGGAAAAAACTATTGTACACAACAAACTTGAGGAATTGAGACGGCTAATAAGTGTTTTGGATAGCGGTTGGTAAAAGCTACAAAATGTACTTCAAATTTTCCTATGATTTTTCATCATAATAGAGGCAGGCGTCATAAGTAGGCAAAAAATCGAATATTCAAAGTTGAATTATTGTTAAAAACAATTAAAGAAACGCATCAGTCATATATATACATATATAACTAAAAAATTTTTAAATGGGAAAGAATGATTTTTAAGGGTAAGAGTGGTAGTTTTAGAGGATCATTCGTTTCAGAAAAAAAGTTTTTTACCATATTATAGAACCTTGAATATAGTTAAAGATCGTCTTTTTTGCACTTCGAGATTGGGATATCTTAATAATCTAACGTATAGGATAAATTCTGACGCCGTATTCAGATTCAGCACACGAAAAAATGGCATATAAAGTTTGGTCTCCAGAATAGAACTTGTCTAATTTTGTCAGCCTGTGTAATTTTTTATATAATGTATATTAATGATTTATTTTGTAGTACGTATTGTTTTAGAAAATTTGAAAATACAGTTTATGTACCTTTAAATAATTAGTTATATACATATTTATAGGAAGTTCAACGGCTAGTTCTGAGACGTCATCGTGCCAACAGACTATGTCACCATATAAACCCCACGCCTCTGGTCAATCGACTCTTCATGAGTTGCTTTTATTAAGGCAAACCACATCCAACGACAGCCCTGTAAGCAGCCAAATGGAAGTAGGTATCCATACCGGTCAGGATATAATTGGAAATTCGACTGTAACTTATAAACCGAAGATATCCCGATTATCGATGTCGGCGCCGACTCAAACTATGGGCCTCGAACAAATTTGGGCTCGTCGAGAACCTCGTCAACATTTGCTTAGCACCGGCAGTCTCGGTTTAGGAGAAGCTGGTTCAACTAGCAGTCTCAGTACCGGCTCAGCTCTCAGCCCAAACCCTTTTAGCCAACTTGAGCATCACTTTAGCCATGATGAAGGTTATGAAGATAGCGATGATGAAAGCGATCATTATGATGATGATAGTAGTGAAAATGGTGAGATTACTTTTATTTAGATATATTTCTAAATATAACTAGAACATTTATAATGTTACTTATTATGCTCAGAATCAGCTGCAAGTGAGTTTGAAGATCAGTCAGCCTGTACTGGCACCAAGCTTTTGTGTAGTAGCGGCGAATCACTTTCTAAAGATAGCAAACAGAAAAGAGAAAAATACTTTTGGCAGTATAATGTTCAAGCGAAAGGTCCTAAAGGTCAGAGACTGGTAGCAAGGACCCGCCTTGAAAATCCACATGTACTCAATGAGGCTACTGATCCCGTTTTTAGTCCACATTGTGCCCTGCAAGGTATAAAACACAGCGGTAAAGCAAGGAAAGGTGATGGCAATGATCTTACACCAAATCCCCGCAAACTTCATAGTATAGGCAAGGAACTTGACAAACTATCACGCATTATCAACGATATGACTCCTGTATCAGAGCTACCGTTTCCAGTGCGTCCTAAAACTCGTAAAGAGAAAAATAAGCTTGCTTCGCGAGCTTGTAGACTTAAAAAAAAAGCACAGCACGAAGCTAACAAAATCAAATTACATGGACTTGAACAAGAACACAGTTAAGTTTCTTTAAGATTTTAGTTTCTGATAAATGGGACATTCTATTGAAATGGTACATCTCTATCAAAACTTTTTGAAAATAAATAAGTTATATATTTCTCAATTTTTTGGCACAAATAGATTCTATTATATTTAAAATAAAGTAATCTTAATTTCGTGAAATTATAATTTCTTATTTAGATTTTTATATATCTAATAATGTAATATTATTAAGTCATCTCCGAATCCTTTGTTAAAAATCATACAACATTAATTTTGATTACTTATTCTACTACATAACGAATAACATTTGCTTTCATTTTTTATCATAATTTTTAATGTTTTCATGTTTTTTTGCACTGCAACATAAGAATTGAAGTAACCCTGGTAGAAAATATCTGGGTTGAACCAGGCAAACGATTAGCGTCCTGCTAAAAATATTGACCATACATTCAATGGAAATCTTGTGTTCTCATTGAAAATCTAACAAAAAGCAGTAAACAATATTCAATAAAGATAAAGAGATTATAACCTTTAAATGTACGCACTTTTAGTAGTGTCTGTAAAATGTCAATTTTTACAAGTAATTTGTATCAAATTATATTTGAGCCGTTTATTTTGAAAGTGACCTAACTCCGTTTTTCAATTTTCTGCCGCTTACAATGGTTACATGTACAACTTCATGTTATTTATCAGTGACGCACTTCAGATTGCTTATATTCAGAGAAAATACGATACATTTTTTACACATAAGTTTTCCGAATTAATTGAATAACTGAGCCGCGTAGTTTGAAAATGGCCTAAACTTTCAATATCTCGATTTGAAGATGAATGGAGTTAGGCCACTTTCAAAATAAGCGGCTCATTTAAAAGATATATAAAGGTTGAAATTGTTTATTCCTATTATTTGTGCATGCTAATGTCAGATATTTTTAAATATAATACACTTTTCTCATGACATATTCCTAAATACACATTAATGAATAAATAACCGAATTTCCGACGAGAAGTTAGCGTGACGCCATAATCGGTTTTCTGCCTAGTAAACCTAGCCATATTCTCGCGATATCTTTAAGAAGTTGCTAATATATCGTCAGAAATTAGTTCAACCCATTAACGCCGAAAAAGCCAAAAATCTTAACTGTGCGTTTATTTTTAACCCTTGACTGCTATGTGGGGTAAATTTACCCCAGATAATTTTTAACAATAAATAAAATTTATTTTTTTCAGTGTGTGTAACATTGAAAATTGTTAACCTGAATATTTTTTTTGTAGTAAAAGGTTTGAAATATACTAGAAAAAATTTTCATAGCAAAATATATAAAATTCTCTGATTTATTCGATTTTTTTCGGGCTGGGGTAGATTTACCCCACCGAGTAGTTACGTGGCCAAAATGAGGTGTGCAAGTTAAGGGTTAAACTACTTAAACATCAAGAATGTATCTAAAAATGACTTACTTTATGTTTTTGGGGTCGCTCTACAAGATTCTAAAGTCAAAATGATGATTAGATTTCAAGAAAAAAAAATATGGCGACTTTTTTCGAAAAAAGCACTGAAAAATTTGTCGAGAAAAATTTTAAAATCAAATTTTTTATCAAAATAGCATGCTTTTATTCAACAAAAATAAGCACAAGTTTGCACAAACATTTCAAACTTTCGAAATATGACCTATAAAAATTAAAAATTCCAAAATGTACGTCTCAAAATGGCGGCGAAGTAGAAATTTTTTTTTTTAACTTCAGAAACGTTTTTCTGGAAAACTAAAGACTTTCGCGAAAAATTTCTAGGAACAAAAAAGTTTTTAAATTAGCCAAGAAATACTCTCAAATTTTTTCAGATTTTTTGAGACAAATCTCGACTTTTTGGAAAATCCAATTTTCCAAAAATGTCTCCAAAAATCCTGAAAAAATTTGATAGTATTCCTTGACTGATTTTAAGACTTTTTTGTTCTGAGAAATTCTTCGCTAAAGTCTTTCGTTTTTGAGAACAAAATTATTGAAACCTTTAATAAATTAATTCTGGATTTTCCAAAAAGTCGAAAATTGTTTAAAAAAAATCTGAAATAATTTGAGAGTATTTCTTGGCCAATTTTAAGACTTTTTTATTCCTAGAAATTTTTCGCGAAAGTCTTTAGTTTTCGAGAAAAACGCTTCTGAAGTTAAAAAAGTAATTTCTACTTCGCCGCCATTTTGAGACGTACATTTTGGAATTTTTAATTTTTATAGGCCATATTTCGAAAGTTTGAAATATTTGTGCAAACTTGTGCTCATTTTTGTTGAATGAAAACATGCTATTTTGATAGAAAATTTGATTTTTAAATTTCTCTCGACAAATTTTTCAGGGTTTTTTTTCGAAAAAAGTTGCCATATTTTTTTTCTTGAAATTTAATCATCATTATGACTTTAGAATCTTGTAGAGCGACCCCAAAAACATAAAGTTAGTCATTTTTAGACATATTCTTGATGTTTAAGTACTTCAAAAATAAACGGCAAGTAAAGTTAAGACTTGGTTTTTTAGCGTTAATGGATTAAATACAATGAAATACTGCTATAAATGCACTAAAAGATATTTATCATAGTTTGAAAAAAATGGCTTTGGAGATGACAGGCTTCAAAGACAACGTAATATTCGTTTTTAAGTACCTAGATTCATTTCAACATAAACATAGCTTCAAAAGTACAAAGAAACTTTAAGAATTACGGTGAAATATTTTTTAAAGTTCTTGTAAGTTTTTAGATAACAGGACTGCAGATATGACGTTGAATTTTTACTTTGAAAAAAAGTTTTATATTTGTTGTTATAATATAGGAAAAAAATTGTTAAACAAATTTTTTGAAAGCAATAATCGATATTTTGTGATCTGAACTTTACTTTAGCGATATGAAAATTGCAATAATATACATAAATGAATGAGTTATATGAACAAAAATCGTAATTCGTAATTTCTTGTGAAAATTGGAGAAAAACTTGAAGACGATTTGAAGAATTAGAATCACTTATTAACCCTTAACTTGCACACCTCATTTTGGCCACGTAACTGCTCGGTGGGGTAAATCTACCCCAGCCCGAAAAACATCGAATAAATCAGAGAATTTTAGATATTTTGCTATGAAAGTTTTTTCTAGTATATTTCAAACCTTTTACTACAAAAGAAAATATTCAGGTTAACAATTTTTAATGTTACATACACTGAAAAAAATTGTTGAATAAAAAAAAAATATTTTATTTATTGTTAAAAATTGTCTGGGGTAAATCTACCTCACGTAGTAGTTAATGGTTAAAATTTTTAGTATGTTTACATTTCAATGCTCATTTTGTAATACCAATTAAAACAATAGTTTTAGTACTATAATAATATTAAATCTGAAAATATTATTGATGAAATAAAAAAAAGGCTTCGAAGATGATACTTTTTCATTTACCATTTTTTTCATTTACCATTAATTAATTACTAATAGTAACCAAGAACATTGGTTTGTGCCTTTTCAGTTGAATGTCCTAAATACTGATTCATATTTCCTTACCTGATTTGAAAGAAGAACTAAGCAAATAATATACAGATAACAGTAGTAGCAATAAAATAATTGTAAGAAGATTCTTTTATGTTTTATAAAAAACAAATTGAAAATCTGACCAATAATTCGTAGATTTGTTTTTTACATTGTTTTACAGATAATGACATTTATTTTTTTAAATTGCATTGCAGAAAAAACTGTATGTTAGTGATTCCTATAGTATTTACAAAAAGACTGACTTCATCAATGATCACTAAGGTCGTATTGCCCAATTTTTGAAGAATACTACTATTTGCAGGATTAAAAATTTCTTACAATCTATAAATGAATAACTAGATACGTTTGTGTGTACATAAGTGTGTGTGTGTATACGAGGCATTTCACGTCAAGTCTCCCAGCGCGGCGCGAGGGCGCTCAAATATGAGAAAGACGATGTTAGTCGGATTATGCCGGGTATAAAAGATTATATATCTGTCAAACAAGAGAATGGCAAAAGAGAACATGTTACGAAAAGATTACTGTTAGGTAATCTCAATGAACTTTTTGCTTTATTTCAAAAGGAAAATGAAAATGCCAAGATAGGAATTACTAAATTTACTCAATTGAGACCATTGCATTGTGTTTTAGCTGGAAGTAGTGGTACACATAACGTATGCGTATGTGTACATCATGAAAATGTTAAACTCATGCTCGCTGCTTTAGATCTAGAGAATTTAACAAACAATACTAATTTTCCTCTTAAAAACTACCACGACTGCATTAAAGCACTTGTGTGTAGAAACGTAAATGAAGAATGCTATCTAACTGAATGTTTAGACTGCCCTAATATGTCTAAATTGAGAAAACATTTGTTTGAATGCTTTGAAAAAAATAATATTTACGAAATACAATATGAATCTTGGTTCCAAACTGATCGATGTACAATAGCTTTGAAAACTGTTCATGTGCATGAATTCATGGAGACACTAAGCGATAAATTAATGAAGTTAAAAACTCATGATTACTTCGCTAAGAAGCAGTCACATTTCATGAATGACTCGAAGAAAAATCTCTTAAAGGGAGAATTTCTTGTTTGCTGTGATTTCGCAGAAAATTATGCGTTTGTGATACAAAATTCAACGCAGTCTTTCCATTAGAATAACAACCAAGCAACTATTTTTACAGTGGTGATTTATTACAATGAAAGTAATGAGCTTAAGCATGTAAGCATTGTTATCATTTCCGATAATTTAAACCATGATACTGTTTCAGTTTATGAGTATCAAAAAATTATAATAACGCATCTAAAAGCTAGTTTCTCTGCAGTCAAGAAAATTTATTATTTTACAGATGGAGCAGGTCAACATTTTAAAATAAAAAGAATTTTTACAATCTTCTTTTTCACAAGAGAGATTTTGGTATTCTAGTTGAATGGCATTTTTATGCCACCGCGCATGGTAAAGGTGCGTGCGATGGTATAGGTGCGAATATTAAAAGAGGTACAAAACGGGCAAGTCTACAACT